TTCCCGCATCAAACACTCAATACACCTGTAAATCTAAAAACACATAATCTTTATCTCCTAATATAAAACGTCAACGCCAAAGAATAATCTGTCTCGATTATCTGCCAAAAACAGTTCCATTGAGTGTAAAAGGCAAAATAGTTTTGAAAATTGTATGAATGGATAACTGAAAATCGAAATAACCCCTGTATCCAAATATACCATACAGGATGACGTAGGGTACAGTGAAATTGACAGAACAATGGATATTATTATTATTATTTTCATTTTATTTTATTTTTTATTTTTATTGTTGTCTTTTTAACATATTGACATGATCACATCTTTTCAAGCTTTCATACACATGTACATGTATTCTTGTGAGAAACGTATTTGTGGTCTCAAGATATTTGCTGTTTAAAGAGATGATAGAAGTGATGACGATAGGTAAACATTAATTTATCAATTTAGTAGCAACATCATTACACTTGATATTGTCGCATACGAGCTAATGGATTTTGTTTTTTATGAGATTTATCCCGAATAGCTGCACTATAATTTTCAAAATCCATATAATCTCAACGAGGCATTAGAAATAGAATACACCTTAACACTAGCGTTCACAGTGAAGATAAGAAACGTAGTTCAGGTTATTTATGTGATAGAATATATAAATCGTCGGCATATCAAGTGACCAGCGATACGAACAACAATGTTGTTGTGACTCCAAACATGATACAGCCGTAGCATTATAAGTGAACTTGGACTGCGATTATGTCTGTCGAATGGGACAGAGATTTGCTGATCTTGCACTCTGTGGGTTGAAACACAGGTCACAGGTGAACCCGCGGGTCAACATGTAGTCAACACTGCTTGGGGAGATGCTTGTACTTTATACATAAAACATAATGTAGTGGGATATTTTTTCCTCCGACCATTTTCCAGTACCTGACCATACCCAATAATGTCTCTGTTACATCTTTTGTTATAAACACTAAGATGGCAGAAGCAGTATTAATGAATGAAAACATGTTAAACACATGTTATTTAGTAAATAAATACCTTTGAATTAAATGGTAAATATTCAAACAAGACTAACATTATTGCAGAAGTAAATAAGAGCAATTGGTTTACAAATTGACATGAACTGTCGGGCAAATGAAAGAATAGACTTGAAAACAGGATTTGGCCAAAACATTATAAACATTATCAAAACATTACTGACTGTAAATTGTCGCCGAAACACTGCAAACATGACTCCAAAACATGACGATGATACCCGTATCAAATACACATCACCATCGAATAACCATTTCTTGTTGGTTTCATTTTTAGCACCATCAAACATGGGTGTCTCGTGTCTTTTGTCCGGAAGCTTGACTATATGATCAGATATAGTCAGAATCTAGTCCTGCACCATGACCGTGGAATATATTTATTTCATGATTTTTTTTTATCTAGAAACGCATACAAAGGCAAGTCTAGCCAGCTCTAGCTAGCTCTATTCCACAATCAGCATAGGATTTTTTTAGAGTCAAGAAGGATGTTGTGTAATATAAGATTTCAGAGACTAAATGCTAGTCTAAGTCAGAATCCTACAATTGACTCTACTTTTATTAGGATTTTCGAAATGCTTTTTGTCACATATATTTATATATTATCACTATTTCATAGTGATTCATAAATACGTGGTTTATAAAAGTCGGAATCGTACATGGACAATGCTTTCAGCAGAGATATCTTATGATTATGGAAAGGTGTTTGGTACCTTTTATACATTATACATCATTGGGTAATTTGACAATAATATCCATGATGGTGACTGTGTTTTATGTCTATAATGCCAAATGGGGAAAGCCGATCATTATAACAGCTCTGGACTTAGATGTTCTAAATGATACTACGGACCAGGACAAAATTGCATTGAATGTATATTCTTAAAATGTGGTTAATGTGTTTTTCTGGAGATAATTCTTTACATATAGCACCATACACAATGATGTTATTGGCGCATGTAGTCATGTAGTCATGTTTATGTTAATCCTAGTTTCAATACGCCATATTACTGAAACGCCGTTAAAAGCCAACTCACCCTCTTCGAGGGTATACGTTAAACAAACACGTTTTCAGTATTTAGATAGAAAGGCCCGTTGTCTGTAAATATATTCCTTTTGAAATTAATAAAGTGAATCTCAGATGTTGAGCAAGAATAGTCCTCGAAACACACACCACCAAAACGTTCAAACATAAGGTTTTACTTGATGGTGTTACCTTAGGAGAATAATGATACGTTGTAAGCTAAGGTGATTTACTGGAGGTTTTTTGTGTGAATCACAACCACAATTCTTGCACAAGATTGATAGTCTCCATCACACATCAATCATACCCTGACATATATAAGTATCAGGAGCAAAAGCCTACTTTTAAGGCACAATATGTATTTTTCGCTTATTCTGAAAAATAAATGCACATTTGACAAATGTTTGGTTTCCTTTGGGATCCGACAGCTTGATTTTATATATCTTTTCTTAAAAAAACAGGGTCGATAGATTTTAGAACACCAAACCTACATTGTTTTAGTCCATCCATGAACTTAACGAACAATGGTGATTCAGACAACTGTTAAATAAAAGCGACAAAACCTTTTCCATAGCCACAAGAAGTCCGTGCTGACAACAGAATCGATCGTTCCGTCGGTGTTGTCAGCATGAATGATTTTTAAAAGCATTTCTTTGAACAGATATCTGGACTTAGGAACTCTTACAATTCCTACGTCGCAATAATCTTGGACGTGACGTTAAACCCCATTTCACCACCCTACAATTCCTAATTTCTTGTTATTATCATTAACAATTGCTGACTGTAAAGAACAATGCTCTCTTGTTCGTTCTTGGTAACCAAGCATTTGAACTTGAAGTTTATTCTTTAAGCGATGGTATCAGTCAGTGTTCTACATACATTGTGGTGTTACACACTCCCTATTGACCACATCAGTTACATGATCACACCATTGTTATTGACCGACCAACATTCAGGGGTTGACATATTACTGACAATCACGATGCCTGGTGATAAGACACGGCCTTTATCAAAGTTTCACAGGAATGGGTACACCGTTAATTATTTACCAAAGTGTGTTGGGTTTTTCTGAAACACCGCGGTTACTGGTGGCCCAGTTGCCTAAGGTGTCGTGATTCTCACTGCAGAGTTGCCTCTGAGATCATTTTATTGTTGGTTCGAATCCTGGATTCTCCGACTGCCTTCGTGGTCCAGTGGAAGAGCGTCCGCCCGGAGAGCGGAAGGTCCAGGGTTCGATCCCCGGTCGCGTCATACCAAAAGACGTTAAAAGATAGTACTTGTTGTTAGCTTAAAACAAGGACTGGTGGGCTCTGCATCAGTATACTGTGTCTGTGTCTGTGTCTGTGTCTGTAGTGGGGTATTCATGTTAAACTGCGGCATGGTATCTCGGTGAGCTAGCACTATAAATCGGCATCAGTCCGGGCTAGAACAAGCAGCCACACACACATACATAAGCACGTAGCTTTATAAGTGCAATAATCTTGGACGCGACGTTAAACTCCGTTTCACCTTACCCAAGACTCTCCAACATCATGAGCGTTGGTTGGTTAACAACCATACCAGGAAGTGGTAAATGTCTAAGACCACATGTATTTCGGCATACTGAAATACTCTTTCGAAAGGGTGTTTAATCGAACGTGTTTTAAACCAGGCTGTAGGGAGTTCCTCAAAGATGGCAATGGTAAATGTAGTAACATCTGAACTTCGTTTTATTAGTTTAACGAGCGTGTGTGTTTTGTTTCTACCTTAGCCTACATGCGTATGCAATATTGATTTCAGTGTTAATGTCACGACATTCAAAAGGTCAACATATCCATTGCAGTTTTCATCTCGAGGTTTAATTATTTACTTTCGAGGTTCGAGTTACCATATGTGATGTGGCTAGATCACGATTGACAGGATTTTTATGTAGGAATAATTAAAACTCCTCACTCTCAGTACATAATAAATATGTGTTATGTCCATCCTGCAGCTGCCAAGGCTCATCTCGCTTTACCTGGTGTCATCACTCTTTGATAGTGATGCAGAAACACATGCTTCTGATATAGTCGGAATCGCACAATAGACATTATTTTAGCAGAGATTTCTCATGAAAATGGTTATGTCGCTTTTATTTATTGTTAATAGTCCATTGCTTCGTGTATCGGTTTCTATTCGATTCTTTAGAAATGTTTCTGTATCAAACTAGCAAGTGATATGAAAAAGGCTATGGCGGTGTTAAATGTGTCACACATGTACAGAATAATTTGAAATTCAATCACTTATCGATTGAATCGGACAAGTACTTGTGATCTCCAAATTACTTGTAAGGTTGTTTAGTCTAAGGCGTCGTATATTACTATAAGAATAAAATATATTAAAAAACAGATATGTATTTTTGGTTAAATAATCTAATAACATATGTTAAAAGACATTCACTGTTTTTCATTAATTTATATCCCAACATTAAATGGCGTAAATATGTAAATATTTGCCTTGTTATTAAATTAATAGACATTGCATATAAATATGGTTATGGTGTTATAAAATACATAGGGGTTTTCCAAAAACGTCACGTCACGTTTACGGACATTACCGAATGATGATAGACACTTGCATAACGTCCGTCGGGTCACGACTCTGGCCGATTAAGGACATGACTAAAAGTTCAAGAGTTCATTAAGACAAAACATCTTGCCAGCACAATAGGAAGAGCGTGACCAGTGACCATTCCAACCAGACAACTTCTTCACAAAGATACAGAGTCCAACCTGTTTGTTGTCCTAGTCCCCCGTGTTTCAATAAAACCACAAAGATTGACGACCAACCCCTTTAGTTTTCTTTGGAAACCTGTAGATATTTGTGTATACCGTTAGAATGTGCAAGCCCAAAATGGCGCGAGATTGAAATCCTGAGTTCAGGGTCACCAGAGTTCACGTCTATATATATGCTGGCTCCCTGACTGGCATGACCATTTGGACAGCGGTCAGTGGTCATATGGTGTGAGGCAGTCTAAAGGTTGCTTGATATACACAGTGGCAGTTGCCCAACAGTCAGCGGAATCCACTGACAGATAATCTGATGACGTCATGGTGGTCAGTGACAGTCATCTGGCTGGCTAGACTGAGAAAGGCAGAGCTTGAAGTTGGTCGCATTTGGTGGTTGACAGACGCCGGAAACTGACCAGCATCTTCTTGGAGACCACTGGACACTGCCCACGGGTAGGTTGCCAACCACGCTAGACTGAATGCATTGTGTTTAAAGTGCACTGAATGTGGTACTACGTGCGAGTGCTACCTTTTTTAAAGTGTTCCGTTAACTTCTAAAATTAACTTTCACAGTTTAATACTTCATTTAACTATATACCATATAAATAGTTGTTCAAACATAGATAACTAAAGGTTTTGTTAAAATTAATGTAAAGCACATTGTATAGTAAAGTATTCCTAATGCGTGAACTTACTATAATATTTAAATTATAACAGCGATGCATCTCATTTTTAATTTTAGATAAAAATCGAAAACAATTAATATGCACACATCCCTGCCTGTACGAACCCTGACATTCTAAAAGTACATAAATAAGGTTTACTTCCATTCATATAAACCGGTGTTATACAAGAAAGTTTACCGTGTCAGAAAGACCCCCCTGTTTATATGAAACTGCACTCAGGACGTAATGCCCAGCTATCGGCTGTGTATGCTTGTCGCCAGGATGACATGGAACGCGAGCAGTTTGATATGGTCGATAACTGCTGGCACTGTGGCTGGCCTTTCTGCGGTGTCAAAAGTTCACATGATGCTCGAGGTCTGTGTCTCACAGCCGATCAGCACTGCACTCTGGTCAGCTTGGGCAGGACGGACGCAGGCTCTCGACAGGTAGGGTTTGGCTCAGAAAGTTTAAATATTAGGATTTCCTGCGAAACTTTATTTTTGCACATGTGCGTTTATTTACTGCTTTTTACATCTGTGTTTTCTTTAGATCTTTGCAATGTTTTCTTTTGCGCTATGATTGCATCAAAGCGGTTGGTTAAAAGATATTTTACGTTTTATTTTCATTTACTTTTTTACCAAAAAGCATAGACTAACTGCATGGCAACAAGTTTGTATATTGTTTATTGTTAATTCATCTTTTTTTGTTAGATTTCGAAAAAATAATCCAGAATGTAGTATGCGGCGAAATTGAGCCTGGTATTCAAAACGGACAGTTAGATAAAATATTATATGAAAAAAAACGCGATGCCTAAAATGTTTCATTCAAACATAAGAAAATTATTCCAACATAAGACATTAGAAGAAGCAACACAACAAACAAGTGTAAAGTATGATCTAAGTGTAAACTTCAGTTTGTGCAAAGTTTGTGCATCCTATCATGCAGTTCAAGCTGTATAAAATATAAACATTAATCGTCTCCAAAACTGTCATCACAAAACAAAGCTACCAGTTACTACACACATATAGTGTAAATGGAAAATACTGCATAATTTATTGATTGTCAGAATAGAAGGCCTTAATTGGTCATATCGAGGAGCCTCGTTGTGAAGTCTGGCAATGAACCTCCCCTTCTGAAAGGTCGCATAAATTAGCATATTGCACACTGGCTTTGTGTACGGCTAGCCATATTAAGGAGAAACAATTATATAGTTTCCCCAAATGAATGGTTAAATAAAGTGATCCCTCCATGACATGCACCAGATTCCAGGTGCATTTAGATAATGAAGCCCCTACCAAGGCCTTTTGGTTCATTCCTGCCTACCTCAGTTTTGTTTGTTTAATTCGGAGTCAACGTAATTCTCAACATACAGGACTTCCTGGAAGAAAAAAACAATTATACACATCAGTGCATGTCATTAGTTTCAATTCTTCACTATATGTTTACTGATACCATACCAAAATGTGTAATGCATCTATGATAAAAGATATTCTTTTAAATATGATTTACTATCAATATTATACATGGTGATACTATTTGCATCGGTGTTAAAAGAATAGTCGGGGGATTAGTCATTTTACGTGTATTTAACAGTTTAACATAATTGTAAAATTATGTCTGAGACCAAGTGCTGACACACCTTCTGAGACCAACGTTGTCAATGAATCAACAATGATGTATTCCCGATGCCTGGCATCATGTTGGGAACACTCGTGTATGTAATGGTCATTAAACACCGACTGACATGAAAGGGCCACGAGGTAGAAGAAATCCCTGTTTTGTCCATTCTTGCCCATGCAGCACTGGTCAGTAATCCGGTCATCGAGTCCGGCTTAAGACTGTCATTGTGTTTGGGCTTCCCCCCATCACAAAATTAAACCAAACTCTTCAAATGGTCACTCAGCAATGCTTGAATTGATATTCATTAGACTGTGAAATCAAATGCTTGGAATTAATAGCTGGTCTCAGACATCTTTGTCCATCACTTCAAAATGAAATACCCACAGGCATGATAGCAAAGGTAATTAGAAGACAAGGAAGACATGATAGGGTTGAATATTTAAATAAACACTAGGTACAATTCCTATTTGATGCCGATCTTACGAAATGAAAAGATGTACACGTGTATATATTTGCCCGACCAACATAATAGGATTGGGCATATGAAGGATGTCTGGAGCGCACGTCAAAGCAATTGCATTACGTTTATTAAATACCTAACTAAGATGTTTCCAAAGTTTTACTAAACTTGCAGGAGCATCCTGGCTGTTGGCTGATGTTCGATAGTATAGTACTCCATATCAGATCTTCTCTACAATGACTATTTTTGCAGACAAACTTCATAATTGACGCCAGCCAATAACCACCATAGGCTACAAAATGGCATACTTGGCACAATTATCTTTGTTTTGCGAAAGTTATCATAAGACTAACCATGCTGTCGAGTGTCAGATATATTATATGCTGTGAATGTGCTGGCACTATATGCCCATAACTGCTTCTCCAGCCAAGAATAGCATGGTCATTATCCCACCTTCAAAACATCAACCCTCGTCAGTCGCGAGCTATTCAGTCTCGGAATTTTGCGAACACGTGGTGCGAAATCTTGAAGCAACTGTTGTCATGTTTCGCATACAGATGTAACACCACGTCACAATCTTCCTATGTAACCTTCCGCATTATTTCAAGATCAACTTTCAAAGGGTATAGATATGTTTGCATGATATGTTGGTTTACTTATCAAATCAGTAGAATTCTGACTTTCTGATGGAATGTCGCTGCATCAGAGCGGACTTTTTTCTTGAACTTTCTGTGACTCCTATAAAGAAAAAGGTCACCGACATCCCAGCACATTGCTGAATGTTAATTACCTTCAAAAATAGGATATTCACATGAACGGTTTTTACGTGAAATGTTTGTGGTTTAACAAAGAAATATATAGTAAAGAGCAGATTATTACAGAATTCTTACAGAATATCTGTTCCTAAGAAAACCCCTTTCCTTAACGACACTTCAAATATATTTGTCTCCTTGCTGGAAATTTCCAGTTATCAAAAAACCGCATTACCATTTTGACTTTGTGTTACTTAATAACTTTGTAAACAAATTAATATAGATATATAAATGAGAAGAAATATATATATTTGAACAAATGTCGTCCAAAGTTTGTTAACCTGGAGGTTGGCAAGCAGTTATGTATCTGGGGTCAAGAGTTCACTTATCTTGTTTGTCCAGTAGTGCTTGGACATGCCAATAGCATGATGTGGTTGTCGATAACGACGTTGTTGTCACATCCCACGTGTAGATAATCTAAACTTTGCATAACCCCCATCGATATACACACCAAGACTGGTCATTTCAATCAGCAAGAATGACTGTGCTAATTTCAGTACAACGTGCGTTTGGCGTTAGTGAAGGACAGCAGTGATTGTACCAAATCGATAGACGACAACTGTCGCGTTAATTGTGCTAACGTGACATAATATAGTCAAATATTGTCATGGTTATGTCATGTTTGTTGTCATGTCAAGTCATAAAGCCAAATGAAGTCAACTACGGTTATAACGAACACAAAGGGACCACTAATTTTAGTTCGTTATAACAGTAGTTCGTTATAAGCTTATATCCAACATATATACAGCAAATGGCCGGGATAAAAAAAAGTTCGTTATATCCTTCAGTTCGTTATAAGCATGTATCAAATTACTCGAATATTGCATAACAAGGATTACAGCCATGTGACACGTCACAGAACTACTGACGTCAGAGTCTCCGTGTGGGTATTTTACGTCATCGACATTTTTTTCCTCCCACTGTCGAACCCACTCCCTGTCTAGCCACCGTCCCTCCCCTCTCTAGCCTTCACCCATCCACGCTCGGTACGCCACCGTCCGTTGACCCCGGTTAACCCTAGGTCATGACCTCAAGACTTCAGACTTCACCCCTACCCATAGTCCTTTGCGCGGGAAACATTTTCCAGTTGTAGCACTTCCTCTTTGTCATGGGGCCTGCGTTCACGGTAGGTTTGAAACTGTAAATGTCGAAGCATAATGTGACCTGATTTGCAAAACTTTCTAAAGACCCCTTATGTTTTAAAATATATATACTTGTCACATTTTAGCAAAGTATTTCTTTTCACTAAATTCATTAAGCTTTATGAAATCTTCATTAACAATTTGATTCTTTTAAGAGTTTTCGATAATCTCGTTTAAAGAATGCGACATTTTAATGTAATACGTTGTAAGTATTATATTTTAACTTTCAAATATTGACTCGTGTGCCGTGTTATAACTTCTTTACATTCAAACTTTGTAAATCTGAGCGCGCTTCCGGTCGAACTGCAGCAGCGACGTAACCAATATGTAAATTACTTTATGACGTCGTGAGTTAGGCATCTCTTTGCTAGGAATGTCACATGTTATTTGCACGAGGCATCCAGCACTGTACAGTCGTTCTCGAAGGAATGAAAACGTGCTATTTTATGAACTACCAATAATTGATGGTCATTTAGACTAGCATAGATATTCCTCGCATCGGCCATTTCTCCTGATGGAGTATGAACTAATTACAACTAATCAAATCAAGGCATCTTAAGCTAGCCATTTTCTGAAGACTCACGGTGTAATGCACCTTGATTCGTGTCATCATTTCTTTATAACGATTAAGGATATTTACGGATAACCTTTAACCCTGAACCCTTGGGTGATTCTCAAAGTGGATACATTTAGTAAATGGGGCAATGTGACCGTTTATCATGGACTGGTCATTACGGCGACCACGGTCAGTTGGTCCGGCCATGAAGGCTGACGTGTCAATTTTTCTCTGACCTCTCTTTGTCCACTCTCATGGCAAAATATGAAGGCCGACACAAAGCGACCTTGTGGTCCTATGATTAGTGGCTTAACCATAAGAGACGTGATTGCCGTTGCTAAGGATCATTATTGACAATATCATTTTAATCATCTATCGCCATAATAATTGCGCGTAGCTTTAGAATGAGAGAAATCAATATTAGACGTAGTTTTCCGTATACGTGTTCAAAGTGGAGAGATCGAGAAGGAAAAGTGAACATGCTGTGCGTATTGACTAGAAGTATTGCTAAACGGCAAATCATTATGTCAATCTTCAAGCGAGTATGGTTTTGCGCCGCTTTTCGTAACATTTCAGCAATATTGGGGTGGGAAATATTAAAGAAAGTTATTGACAGTTAACAGTTCTTTGCTGTCCTCCTGAAGTTCGAACATGAGACACATACCGAGTATACAGCATATTGTGTCCGTATGTCTGATGTATCATATTTCACGAGGAACAGATTACTTGCTCACCGGTATCTACCTCGCTATGACTTGCGAATGACCGGTCGCTAGAATAGTGACCTTTGTATGACCCTGGCAACTCATTCCTGCTGCGGTTGAAAGAGGCGCAACAAGTCGGTGCTTGTAAAATTAGGATTGGTGTTATCCGGTCGATAATCCAATACAAACGAACAAAGATTAATAGCTACTGATCATTTCATTTGGTGCTGTATATGTGTAAATATATCCCAATTGGAATTTCAAATATTAAAATTCACACTTTTCCTTATCTATATTTTGAAATAAGTGTTTCATTAACGTCAACTTGTAAGCATTCATTTATTTCAACTTGCGTTTGAAAATACGTTTGATATACATGAACACTAATTCCATTACCCCAGAGCGACATGAAAATTAACTCGGACTAAAATAGGAAAACAAGATTTTTCAAACGTTATCGTACATTGTACGTTTTCCTCATAAATGTATTTGACTGTAACAAAATGCAAGTGTAAATATTTGCACACGGGAATATCCCTCACAGTATTTACAATGTTCAGGTCAAATGATGCAGAGGTCAAATTGTATAACACATCCGCATTTCTTGTTATCCTGTCAGTGGTTTCCTCTTCCTGTCAACAACACAGATCCTATTTAGAACTTTTCATGAAAATGACAATAAATATGTTATCGATTTAACGAAATAAGAACAAGGAAAATACTCACATTTTCATGTCTGTTAAGTTCTATAGTGAAATATTATAATATTAAAGGTGCAACTGGAAAAGTAATATTTCTATATGTGAGTACCTGGTATAAAGTGTTAGAGCCCTTCATCGAGATAACATAAAAAATTATTTTCCAAATTGCATAATTTCTGAACCGAATATGCAGGTAGCAGACAAAAATCAAATAATGAAAGTGATCTTTTTTCCTACATAGTACTTACCCTGCCACGAATAAATCACTATTTTATGTTTATGTTTGTTATGTGTCATGTAATCCTAAATCAGTTTGACAACTATATATTATGTTCATTACTAGGAGGAAAGAATTGGTTGATGCAGGAAAAATGTTATTTAAACGCGGATCTATAATCATCGTGTTATCACACACAGTCTTACAGTAGGAAAGGAAAATGTGTAAAACTGTCGAAATGGTTTAAAGGTTGTGAAATATCACAATTTAAACCATACACTAGAGACACCCAGCCTGTAAGGTTAGTTATTTTCAGATAGATTTGTTTGCATGCATTTATATTGGTGTGAATATTGTTCCCTAATTTGACTTTCTTTATTAAGATTGAATAACAAAACCGGTTTCGAAACTTGAGCTTTCATTTTCGAATGGTGTCTTTATCGATATATTTAAAATAACATTGTGACAGTAAATTACGTTCCTGGTCTACAAATGAAATCTTGAAAATGTAAAAATAGTTACTTAATCAGATTCAGTCATGTTTTCGTAAAATAAGACAAATTATAAGTGAACGTTAATAACACGAGTTCAAATAATACATTGTACTAAAGTGTAAAACATGATAGGTGAGAATACAGATGAAAAGTTACATAATCACCTGGCACTGATGTGCGAATATGCATACTTGTATCTCAGCTGCAGCAGTTTTAACCTAAAATAAAATTGATATTCTTAATCCGCAATTTATGTAATAGTTTACTAGTATATTATCTTTTTAAACGTAATTGAAATGAATAATTATTAAATAATTACACATAAACCATCTGCATCGTTTTTCATGTTCGCCAACCGGTTCATTATTTATTAATCATTATTGAAACCTTTTGGTATACAAATTCAGGAAATTCAGTCCAAATTCGACGACTTCGTTGAAAGGTATGACACAGGAATTCAAATCCCTCGCGTCTGTTTGGTGCTGTGTGTGGTTGCAGGGATGGTCACTTTCTTGTCATGGCCGAGTTTAGGGTGTAGTCGTTTCGTATTTTTAGGAAGGATATTATTTTTATTTTCCTGCGGAAAGTTACATTTATTTATTTTTAAATATGAAGTTTCAAAAAAAGACATATCATACGAAATATACTTTTGGTATCATATATTGTCGCGCGGTTTCCACCGTTAGAGTAACCTCCCTTTTCTCACTGGAGCGATTTTTAAATTTCAGGTTCGTTATTTAGTGATGTTGTGCTGTCAAATTGTTTGTTAACATGAGAATGGTCATGATAATTATAGTGTTCTTATTGTCATGTGAGTTATCAACCTTGATGATGCACTTTTTTCGTATGGTACTCCCAAATAACAAATTATAATTTGCGAAATATGTTTGTGACATCGATATAAAATAGTGAGTGGCAACTATCCGCAGTTCCTCTAAAAAAAGTTCTATTTACATGTAAACGTTAAATATATAATCATTACATAGTTGTTTATTTGATCCGTGTGGTTGGGTAGCTTTTTCAGGTTTAGATTGAGTCGTAGGTCATGAGCTTGCAAACAAATTATCAGCAGTTTGGGGGTCAAATTCAACCAGTGGCGCCATTCAAACGATGTAATAGCGAATTTCGACAAGTGTAGAAGGAAACATCACTCTCACACACACACACACACACACACACACACACACACACACACACACACACACACACAGATAAAAATCATATTTACACCGTACATGTACCAGTGTCATCTTATCTCAGATCAGCCATGTTCATCGTTTATCACGCATACCTGCGAAAATGTTTAAAGAGAAGCATTGACCAAAGGTCACACTTAAATTCGTAAAGATCACATCGGCATTTAAAACAATTATTATTTGAGTTGCTGGAGGCGAAAATAGGGAAAGTGGCAATCCATTAACAGGTTGGTTGCTATATTCGCCAAACAGTCGTAATGTCAGCAAAACTAAATGGAAAATGATGATAATATGATACTACACTAAACCTAGATAATGATGTAGTTCCTTAGTGATATAGAAATCAATACACACAGGCTGAGTTTATATCTCTTATACTCATAGAAGCATACATAGGTTGTTTATAGCATAATATTAAGTTAAATTAAACACTATTGGTTTTTTGTCAATCCAGTCGTCAAAAGTAACCTTCGTGCAAAACTCGCTATTTTTCAGTTCTTATGACTTGGAAATGTTTAATATTATTTAAAATATTTGTTAAACTTCTATGATTAGTCCGTTTAGATTCGAACGCTGTTTTGATTTAGACTTTCCCAAATAATGTAAGTGCGATGCACAAATGGTGTTTTGACTAGCCTTCGTTGAATGTCAACATTGTGAACTGTTTGGAAATCGGCATTTGTGGCGCTCTTTTTGTTCTTTTACGAACGCTTCATATAGTTTAACGATTTTTGGACTTCATATAAAATGCATGGACGATCTTATAGTTCGTTCCAGCATTGTTTATTAATTAACTGTATTTTAAAGATTTGCGTTGTACATGCGAATATTCTATGAATGGACAAAAAATGAAATATGCGCACGTCTCTGTCGTTTAGACAAAAAACAGTTAGACACAGAGTATGAATATTATCTCCATGTTGTACTGACTGTATATGTCTTTAGATGGACGATAGAAATGTGTAGAAATATTGACTCAATATGATCTTCTTTTACAGAAATGTCACACAGAGAGATGAGAGCCCTTCCCGATCTCCAGCACCCACCTTGAGATCTGCGGTCGCCATGACAACTTGAAAATGACGAAACAGACTATGCCATCACCCAGTTGCTGCTTTTTATGAGGTATGTAGTTTTGTACCTCGTCGTGTTATGACTGAAATACTGAAAGTAACGACAAACTACCATCACTCACACAAAAACGTAAGGAAATAAAGCGCAGGCCCCTTTTAGTGTGAGTGTGACGCATCACCAAGCAGCTACCCGTTCAACTATCGTGCATTGTAGACAAAGGGAGATAACTCTGGATGGCTTCGTGGACTCGATGACTACACTGTCTTTTGCAATAGATTGTTTTTATATTTACACATTGCATTCTAGAAGAACGATTTATGTGCGTGTCGAATAAACACTTTTTATGTGGAATTATTTTCATTTGAATGTTTTATATGGAATGGTCTGACCTTAACAATAATTTAGAGCAACGATTCCGTCACAGTGACATTAGGCTGATGAAGACAATCTAGATATTCTGCAGTTACTGTGTGATATTCCTGTCTAGTTTGTTCTCACTGTAAACGGATACAAACGAATTTACATAATTATTCTGCTTCATTCACAAAACCGTCTGTGACGTAAGATGATTATAGCTTTGCATGGCAAATAACAAGTCATGTGGCAGATTAAGCTAATCCGAACTACGTTATACACTTAAGCCTGGATAAAGCGGATTACCGATTCATTACCCTCACAATATGGAGTAACTCCAACAACGAAACCTTGTGTTGAAACCAGGAGAAAACGTGTTTTCCCTTTTCACTTGAACTCATATTCGTCAGGTTAATTGTGCTTAATCATGCACTATACAACGACCGATAACATTAATATCGATTTATTACGTGGGGATATTTTAATATATTTGTATTTCATTAAAATTGCAAGACATATCAGTTTAAATTGTTAATATATGTTTTAGATGCGAAATACAAGCCCACATTCTGTTCAAATCAGTTAATAAAAATAATTACTGTTTTTATCAAGATGTTTTACAAACTTAAAAGCATTAAGATGTTTGCGTTTAATGACATAAAATGGTTCTAGGTTCCAGTTGTCAATTGAGTAATCCTTCGTAATCATTTTTCAATGATGACGACAATTCCGAACGTTTTTATAGTCCAGTAGCCTAACACTATAGATGCTACGTGGTGTGTTTTAATACCTGTAACGCTCGGTGTCCCCCTGAGCGAATTTGACGAATTATCTTTTGAGAGTTCTCTTTGAATTAGAACCTGATTGCAGATTCACTCGTGTATAAAACTATAATTACCAAATTTCTGTGCGTTTGAGGCGCCGACAGGATTAGCTTTTGTCCAAATATGCTTGGAACCTGTTTCTGGTATTGATTTAAACCGGTTGGTCTTCCACCTGACTAAACGAGGACCTTCTCGTTGACGATACAGCATTATTATCACAGTGTATATTCATGTTCATATGGCACTTGTGATTATGTTTTATTCCTGCAACACATCCATTAAGTTCTTTGGGAGGCATTTAGAATTTGAAGTACGAAGTAAGGATAAGATATATCGATAAAAAACGACGTTTCTGTGTAGGTTCTAACACCGTTATCAAGCAAGAGATAATAACGGTGTTAGAACCATCACCGAAACGTCGCTCCTAATTGTAATAAAGAAGTTGTTCATCGATATATCTTACCCTAACTTATCCGTTATGTGTTGAAGCACATACGTTCCAGCACAAACACATGCACACGCTCATGACGTGTATTGAAGTAGATATGACAAGGAGTGTGATTTACACAGAAATATACATGCAATGTTTAAATGGATGATCTAACTGCGTCTTTTGACTGAATATAGAGAAACTGTGTTATCAGTGTGTTTGGGCAAGTCTTTAGAAGTTGGAATATCAGGAAGACATGAATCGTTTATGGATAACAACATTCTTTTAACAACGTTTACTTCTTTCACCTTCATCGTGTGAATTCAACTTATATGGATAACAACTTCTTGGTCAGCCCTGGCCCGTTTCGGGGCTCCCTCATCACCCGATGAAGGGACAAGAAGGAGCCTGAGACGGACCAGATCAGACCAAGAAGTGTGCTTGGTGTTTAGAAGTATAGGCTGGCTTTACCTGTACTCTGTTGAACCACTAGTTCTGCTATATTTCGAGTAGCGTGACGCCTACATGTACTATAGCCGTAACTAAATTCGCAGAATAATCCTTGTTTTCAGTTCAGTCAGTTTATGGTGGATATCAGTTATTTCCACAGTCGATTTGCCTCGACGAAAAGGATCAAACACGTTTTTCAACCTTCTAATAGCGAACAGAAATATTCTTTTATATGCCAAATAATTGGACAAATAAACGGCCTTTCAAACCACTGTTTACAGCAACGTTAAAACTGCTGACACTGCTATTTCTATGAGGTCATAACCCCTATATCGCTAAAGGGAGTAAAAATTTGTATACAGACCAATGGCTAATGGTGCGAAGTTACTTTGGTATTGCTATAAAGCACCCATCCAGAACTACAGCCAATTGTGTTTGACATGGGGTGGTCATACGTCTTTTATATTGATATCAGATAGAGGTGTCAAGACATTTCTTTCAAAGCCAAATTACCTCTGGTCACTTTTGGTCACTAGGTCGGGTCGTAGGGTCAACCCATCATGACTGAACCTTTTCTTTTGAATTCTCTGATCAAGGAATTTTACTCTGAACTGAATCACTTAGAGCATGCATATGCTTTTTCACACTTACCAACACATATCCGTTAAAGAAGCTTGTATTTCTTAGTTTTTAAATGCTGGTCATGGTATTATTGTTTGCGTGGAGGTAACCGTTATTTGAGAAGGTGGTTGTCTTAACCACGGACTTGTTATATAGGTCCGTGTCTTAATGTACTTTGGTGTTGCAGTATGTGTTTGATGGGTGACTGGTAATCCTGTATTTCTGGGCGTGTGTTCTTGAGTAGGATCTTAATCGTCTTAGCTGGGGTCTAGTGTTGTAGTACGTCCCTTTTTAACACACTTTCTGTTTGAAATGATTGTGATGTAATGGCAGTGACATAACTATGAGATGTGAACTGGAGGTGGTCTCTTCCTTCTCTCATACATTATTGCCATACTTCATACCATGGGGAACATGTACTATATAGCCAACACATGTAACTTGCTTGTATTCCCTACAGTGCAGTATACACGTTATGCATATACCCACAGTCAGATCATGCATATCTTTATATATAAACACACATTCATGCACATGGACACACAGATGCACGTTCACACAAGCAGACACATACATGAACACATATACGTGTTTAGACACACGTTCGCACATGCATGTGTCCACCGACAACTGCGCATACATGTTCATTCTGCATCGTTCCAATTCATTCCAACGGAAAATACGTGTATTTCCACCCGTCTACACTTCTTCGAACAAGATATACAAAATCGATGACATTTTAGCATGTACTTTGGACCTGGGGTCGATCGGATGAACCGACAGATATCGAATCACACACGTGTACAGACGCACACGCACACACGCGGAAGCATGCACGCACGCTCTCACACATGCATACGCATGATGATGAAGAAATATCAATGCTTACACTTTTAGCTATACGTCTGACGGCCATTTAGGGAATACTTTTTCAGAAAGCAGTATGGCGATGGTATATAATCTGTATTCACACAACAAAGTTATTGGTACACGTTTGTATGTCCCATTCTAGTTTTTTCTTAAAGCGTGCAGTAGTGTTGAATATAGAATCTATACAGCATACTGCCGTCGTCCCCATGTGAATATAGGCAGTGTGGTGGCATAACCTTGCCTGACCCCCAGCCACCTACCCGCATTGCTGGGGTAGCATACCCTGACGCTGCAATGCCCCACCCATGTCTCGACTCACATTACGGCATTTCGTGTGACGGTGATCGATCTTGGTCTGGCCTGGCCCTGAATACACAAAATACTATATCCCATCTCAACTTTGTGTAAACACGGAATCTTAAAAATTGTTTGTGTAGAATTTGCGGGTAGGAAGGTCGGACCAGATGGGTTACATCACTCGCCAAATGCACTTGCATAACGACAGACCAGTTTAAAGTTTAAGCTTGATGTAATGTCACGAGTTACATTTTAAATTAAATCAGTTCATGCTCATGAAATGCATCGTTAAGCAAATAAAAACATACATGTATTTTAGCGCGAAAGAATCAGACAGGCATTTTTCATAAAACGAGTTTAACCATTTTATTGAAAAGGATGAAGGTATTCTTACACAAACAAGCAATTCACATAAAACATTAACTAGAAATTGTTATTGAATTATTTTTGTTCATTATATATCTGTATTGTTCTCAAACCTGTGCAATACATACCGTATACGCATATACTGTATGCGTCCTACCTACTGCACATATTCGTGAATGTCTTACATCCAAGAAGAGACGTCTCTGAATTAACTTAATTATTTGCCGTATCGTAGGAAAAGTAATAATGGAATCACTGAAATTCTAAAAATGATTTTATTGTAAAATGTAAGTAAAGCTAACTGAAATGATTTCTGTAGAAAAGTGTAATGACAAGAAGGTATGACTATAGATTTAAAGAGTCAAGGCGTGTTTCTGTGCGTGACAGACGGGTAGCCAAGCAAACCGGAGTTGATCACATGACAGCTATTTTAAGCTTACGCAGTCAACTCGGGAAATAGCATTTGCATTGAGAGAACCTAGTAATTACCGAGCACAATTACCCGAGACTATTACTGATGAATACTGGCATCCTGGTGGACCATCTGTTCACAAAATGCACTTTAATAAACATGGATTTATACTCAATAGTCAACGTCTTTGATTTTCTTTTTTGGTAATAGATGTTTATAGAAATGGTGTTTGAGATGTAAACTTTGTCACTTAATTTACGATATATTTTTTAAATTTACAGTCGCCTTTTACACTTCAGCTCATATCCACATTGTACAATGAATTCCATGAGATGTTGTACGGACTAGAGAAGTCTAGAAATACCTTGATGACGCAAATGCACGTCGTTTTGACTGGTGTTATGTTTAGAAAGGATTTGCAGACAAT